GCGCTTAGGACCATAATGTTGAACGGGTTCATTTCTACATGTTTTTGCATTATGTCCAACCTGTTTGCATTGACTACACGTCATTTGTCTTCCATGTCGTGTAAGCTTTCCCCGATTTGATGGACTCATGAACAGATTTTATTCGGCTAAACTTCCTTGGTCGACCAGGCAACTTTCTCTTTTTGGGAACGCCTATTGGATCTTTCAGAGTTTTTACCCAAAATGGTTCTCCATTGACAGGCATTATATTCTGTTCATACAACAGTTCCAATCTTCTGCTCGAGAAATAGTCAGACACGTACTTTACAACATCCTCTCCTCGGTTATTGATAATACATAGTCCATGCTTACATGGAATACCCGTCAAATCCCACTTCCGACAAGGGCAACTCCGTGAAGAAAGATCCAATGAATAACTTATCCCTGACTCCATCACCTCATATTTCTCATACCCACTCGGTATTGATATGCAAAAACGTGTGTCATTCTGATTTTTAGCTAACTCTTTCATAGCATGTGAAGTGAGGTATGTCTTACATACCTTGACCTCCCTTAATCTTTGTGCTATCCGTTGCATAGTTTGCCTCCGAATCATTTCGAGCATGTCAATCAAGGGACGTAGTCGAGCAGCTTTTATAGACATATTGAAACTCTCCGAAAAATTGTTGTTAACATCTTCGCAATGTGATTGCGTTCGGAAAAATGCCTTGCACCAATGTTTTGGGTCATTGGCAATTAAGACCTCAAATGCCGCTGGGTTTATGTCTTTTATCTCCTGCATATACCGCTCATAATCACCTTCATGGCAAACAAAAAGATACATGTATTAGTATACTGAAAAATGTACAAATGACAAAGGCAAACATTTAGAAACAAATTTACTAACCTTTATGATAGCTATTTGCAGCGTCCCAAAATAAGTTCTTCAATTCAATGTCCTTGAATTTTCTCTTCAAATTGGCATAAGTATGACGTGCACACATGCGGTGCTCACAAAGCGGTAATTCATTGGAAACAGCATTAAGCAATCCCTTTTGCTTATCGGATATTATGGTCACTACATCCTTCACCAAGACATAAATCTGTCTTCAATTTCTTCACAAACCAATTCCATGATCAGACATTGGAGTAAGTTGATGAATGTTGTACTAAGTTGATGAATGTGTTTTACTAAGAATGTATCTATCTTCGCAAGGTTGTTTTTGGGATGTGTAATGTACTCAAAAAGTTTGTATTTTGAATGTTTTGCTGTAAAAGACATTCTCAGGAAGTATGTATTTTGGATATTTTGAATATTTGAGACAAAATCAAGTTCACAGCTATATTTTTCCTTAACAAAGAGGGTAAAGTCTAATTAATACTTCATCCATCAATATAATCTGATACATCCTTAGTACAACATTCATCAACTTACTATAATGTCTAATAAATGCATCTTAGTACAACATATTAATCAAAACACATAATACATAGTCTGATACATTCTTAGTAAAACACATTCATCAACTTAGTACAACATTCATCAACTTACTCCAATGTCTGATCATGGAATTGGTTTGTGAAGAAATTGAAGACAGATTTATGTCTTGGTGAAGGATGTAGTGACCATAATATCCGATAAGCAAAAGGGATTGCTTAATGCTGTTTCCAATGAATTACCGCTTTGTGAGCACCGCATGTGTGCACGTCATACTTATGCCAATTTGAAGAGAAAATTCAAGGACATTGAATTGAAGAACTTATTTTGGGACGCTGCAAATAGCTATCATAAAGGTTAGTAAATTTGTTTCTAAATGTTTGCCTTTGTCATTTGTACATTTTTCAGTATACTAATACATGTATCTTTTTGTTTGCCATGAAGGTGATTATGAGCGGTATATGCAGGAGATAAAAGACATAAACCCAGCGGCATTTGAGGTCTTAATTGCCAATGACCCAAAACATTGGTGCAAGGCATTTTTCCGAACGCAATCACATTGCGAAGATGTTAACAACAATTTTTCGGAGAGTTTCAATATGTCTATAAAAGCTGCTCGACTACGTCCCTTGATTGACATGCTCGAAATGATTCGGAGGCAAACTATGCAACGGATAGCACAAAGATTAAGGGAGGTCAAGGTATGTAAGACATACCTCACTTCACATGCTATGAAAGAGTTAGCTAAAAATCAGAATGACACACGTTTTTGCATACCAATACCGAGTGGGTATGGGAAATATGAGGTGATGGAGTCAGGGATAAGTTATTCATTGGATCTTTCTTCACGGAGTTGCCCTTGTCGGAAGTGGGATTTGACGGGTATTCCATGTAAGCATGGACTATGTATTATCAATAACCGAGGTGAGGATGTTGTAAAGTAGGTGTCTGACTCTTTCTCGAGCAGAAGATTGGAACTGTTGTATGAACAGAATATAATGCCTGTCAATGGAGAACCATTTTGGGTAAAAACTCTGAAAGATCCAATAGGCGTTCCCAAAAAGAGAAAGTTGCCTGGTCGACCAAGGAAGTTTAGCCGAATAAAATCTGTTCATGAGTCCATCAAATCGGGGAAAGCTTACACTACATGGAAGACAAATGACGTGTAGTCAATGCAAACAGGTTGGACATAATGCAAAAACATGTAGAAATGAACCCGTTCAAATCTGCATTTTAGTATAACCCCGTCGTCGTTGAACAGATGTGGATTGGACTCGAATGGGCTCAGATTGCACTGATTGCACGGTCTGACTTAATTATGTCGGTGCCGAAGAACCTACATATGAACGCACTTCATAATTAGTTACATGATTAAGCAAAAGACGAAGACAAATAGTAATACATGAAGTATTAATTAGACTTTACCCTCTTTGTTAAGGAAAAATATAGCTGTGAACTTGATTTTGTCTCAAATATTCAAAATATCCAAAATACATACTTCCTGAGAATGTCTTTTACAGCAAAACATTCAAAATACAAACTTTCTGAGTACATTACACATCCCAAAAACAACCTTGCGAAGATAAACACTCAAAAAACGAACTACCGATTAATTGTCTTTCACGGCAAAACATCCCAAAAAAAACAAACTGCTGATTACTTGTGTTTCATGTCAACACATCCAAAAAACATCAACCAGCATTCTTGACTACTTATCATTGTCATTGGTCCTCGTAACAATTGGTCTTGGTATAGCAAAAGGTCTCCCCCGTCCTCGCATAATCTGCATTTTAGTATAACCCCGTCGTCGTTGAACAGATGTGGATTGGACTCGAATGGGCTCAGATTGCACTGATTGCACGGTCTGACTTAATTATGTCGGTGCCGAAGAACCTACATATGAACGCACTTCATAATTAGTTACATGATTAAGCAAAAGACGAAGACAAATAGTAATACAAAAGTTTACAGAATTGCACCTTCAACCGAATGTGTGTGGCGGACTTCAGAATTAGTACCTCCAACTCGACGTTGTACGCGTCGTGGTGGTGCACTTGAACTTGCTTCTTCGACATCCTAACAGCAAGAAAGAAACAACATTAAGCTAAAACGTATTTACATGAACCAAAACAGGATTTGACAACGTACCTTCATTTTTTTTGGTCTTCCCCTTCCGCGCTTAGGACCATAATGTTGAACGGGTTCATTTCTACATGTTTTTGCATTATGTCCAACCTGTTTGCATTGACTACACGTCATTTGTCTTCCATGTCGTGTAAGCTTTCCCCGATTTGATGGACTCATGAACAGATTTTATTCGGCTAAACTTCCTTGGTCGACCAGGCAACTTTCTCTTTTTGGGAACGCCTATTGGATCTTTCAGAGTTTTTACCCAAAATGGTTCTCCATTGACAGGCATTATATTCTGTTCATACAACAGTTCCAATCTTCTGCTCGAGAAATAGTCAGACACGTACTTTACAACATCCTCTCCTCGGTTATTGATAATACATAGTCCATGCTTACATGGAATACCCGTCAAATCCCACTTCCGACAAGGGCAACTCCGTGAAGAAAGATCCAATGAATAACTTATCCCTGACTCCATCACCTCATATTTCTCATACCCACTCGGTATTGATATGCAAAAACGTGTGTCATTCTGATTTTTAGCTAACTCTTTCATAGCATGTGAAGTGAGGTATGTCTTACATACCTTGACCTCCCTTAATCTTTGTGCTATCCGTTGCATAGTTTGCCTCCGAATCATTTCGAGCATGTCAATCAAGGGACGTAGTCGAGCAGCTTTTATAGACATATTGAAACTCTCCGAAAAATTGTTGTTAACATCTTCGCAATGTGATTGCGTTCGGAAAAATGCCTTGCACCAATGTTTTGGGTCATTGGCAATTAAGACCTCAAATGCCGCTGGGTTTATGTCTTTTATCTCCTGCATATACCGCTCATAATCACCTTCATGGCAAACAAAAAGATACATGTATTAGTATACTGAAAAATGTACAAATGACAAAGGCAAACATTTAGAAACAAATTTACTAACCTTTATGATAGCTATTTGCAGCGTCCCAAAATAAGTTCTTCAATTCAATGTCCTTGAATTTTCTCTTCAAATTGGCATAAGTATGACGTGCACACATGCGGTGCTCACAAAGCGGTAATTCATTGGAAACAGCATTAAGCAATCCCTTTTGCTTATCGGATATTATGGTCACTACATCCTTCACCAAGACATAAATCTGTCTTCAATTTCATCCATCAATATAATCTGATACATCCTTAGTACAACATTCATCAACTTACTATAATGTCTAATAAATGCATCTTAGTACAACATATTAATCAAAACACATAATACATAGTCTGATACATTCTTAGTAAAACACATTCATCAACTTAGTACAACATTCATCAACTTACTCCAATGTCTGATCATGGAATTGGTTTGTGAAGAAATTGAAGACAGATTTATGTCTTGGTGAAGGATGTAGTGACCATAATATCCGATAAGCAAAAGGGATTGCTTAATGCTGTTTCCAATGAATTACCGCTTTGTGAGCACCGCATGTGTGCACGTCATACTTATGCCAATTTGAAGAGAAAATTCAAGGACATTGAATTGAAGAACTTATTTTGGGACGCTGCAAATAGCTATCATAAAGGTTAGTAAATTTGTTTCTAAATGTTTGCCTTTGTCATTTGTACATTTTTCAGTATACTAATACATGTATCTTTTTGTTTGCCATGAAGGTGATTATGAGCGGTATATGCAGGAGATAAAAGACATAAACCCAGCGGCATTTGAGGTCTTAATTGCCAATGACCCAAAACATTGGTGCAAGGCATTTTTCCGAACGCAATCACATTGCGAAGATGTTAACAACAATTTTTCGGAGAGTTTCAATATGTCTATAAAAGCTGCTCGACTACGTCCCTTGATTGACATGCTCGAAATGATTCGGAGGCAAACTATGCAACGGATAGCACAAAGATTAAGGGAGGTCAAGGTATGTAAGACATACCTCACTTCACATGCTATGAAAGAGTTAGCTAAAAATCAGAATGACACACGTTTTTGCATATCAATACCGAGTGGGTATGAGAAATATGAGGTGATGGAGTCAGGGATAAGTTATTCATTGGATCTTTCTTCACGGAGTTGCCCTTGTCGGAAGTGGGATTTGACGGGTATTCCATGTAAGCATGGACTATGTATTATCAATAACCGAGGAGAGGATGTTGTAAAGTACGTGTCTGACTATTTCTCGAGCAGAAGATTGGAACTGTTGTATGAACAGAATATAATGCCTGTCAATGGAGAACCATTTTGGGTAAAAACTCTGAAAGATCCAATAGGCGTTCCCAAAAAGAGAAAGTTGCCTGGTCGACCAAGGAAGTTTAGCCGAATAAAATCTGTTCATGAGTCCATCAAATCGGGGAAAGCTTACACGACATGGAAGACAAATGACGTGTAGTCAATGCAAACAGGTTGGACATAATGCAAAAACATGTAGAAATGAACCCGTTCAACATTATGGTCCTAAGCGCGGAAGGGGAAGACCAAAAAAAATGAAGGTACGTTGTCAAATCCTGTTTTGGTTCATGTAAATACGTTTTAGCTTAATGTTGTTTCTTTCTTGCTGTTAGGATGTCGAAGAAGCAAGTTCAAGTGCACCACCACGACGCGTACAACGTCGAGTTGGAGGTACTAATTCTGAAGTCCGCCACACACATTCGGTTGAAGGTGCAATTCTGTAAACTTTTGTATTACTATTTGTCTTCGTCTTTTGCTTAATCATGTAACTAATTATGAAGTGCGTTCATATGTAGGTTCTTCGGCACCGACATAATTAAGTCAGACCGTGCAATCAGTGCAATCTGAGCCCATTCGAGTCCAATCCACATCTGTTCAACGACGACGGGGTTATACTAAAATGCAGATTATGCGAGGACGGGGGAGACCTTTTGCTATACCAAGACCAATTGTTACGAGGACCAATGACAATGATAAGTAGTCAAGAATGCTAGTTGATGTTTTTTGGATGTGTTGACATGAAACACAAGTAATCAGCAGTTTGTTTTTTTTGGGATGTTTTGCCGTGAAAGACAATTAATCGGTAGTTCGTTTTTTGAGTGTTTATCTTCGCAAGGTTGTTTTTGGGATGTGTAATGTACTCAAAAAGTTTGTATTTTGAATGTTTTGCTGTAAAAGACATTCTCAGGAAGTATGTATTTTGGATATTTTGAATATTTGAGACAAAATCAAGTTCACAGCTATATTTTTCCTTAACAAAGAGGGTAAAGTCTAATTAATACTTCATCCATCAATATAATCTGATACATCCTTAGTACAACATTCATCAACTTACTATAATGTCTAATAAATGCATCTTAGTACAACATATTAATCAAAACACATAATACATAGTCTGATACATTCTTAGTAAAACACATTCATCAACTTAGTACAACATTCATCAACTTACTCCAATGTCTGATCAATCAGACATAAGCTAACCCATAGTAATATATAACTACAGAAACTATAACGATGATGAACACCACCAATTTCTGAGTTATCTGTTGTTCACCTTTGATTACTTCGATCTTGGAATCAACATTCTGTAGCTTCTTTTGCAGACTTTCAATTTCTTCTATTAGAGCTTCGTCGACCCATTTAAAAACGTGGTTAGAGGATCCCTAAAACATAAACAAAAATTTCAATTATCTTTATACAATCTGAACTTAACACTTCAAAATTGTTTTATATCAATAAAATCCAACCATTTACCTCTTGTGAAACACACGTATAAAATAGACGTCCTGGATTTTTTTCCGTTTTCGATGTCAATATTGAAACCTCACTTCCACACTCACATTGCTGCGGAATACCCTTCACTACACTTATCCTCTTTTTTTTCCAACCTGAACTCGCATTCGAGTTTGCCTCGCTCATAAAACTCATTTTGGATCCAATTTTTTAAACCTACAACACATCAACCGATGATTCATCAACTAATAACTCAAATTTTCATCCGCATGTATTCCATCAGAAAGAGAGTATACCTGGAACCGAGCTAAGATTTACACCCACACATTCACCAACCATAACAATTTGTTACCCAGCTCGATAATGGCAGAAAAAAAAAACAAAAGACCCGAAAACAGTGAAAACAAAAGAGAATGAATTTACAACCGAGCTCGAACAAGAGAAGTACAAGATGGAGAGATCGCTCAGCAGGGAGAGTTTCAGTTATAGCAGGACTGAAGGAGAAGACAAGTCTTTCGATCTGAGATCCCTGAAGATATTAAATAGATCTAGGGTTTATAGAAACCGGTTTAGTGAACCGGTTTGAATTTCCGAGTTAAATTTTAACCAATCTCTGATTACCGATTTTGTCTATGTGTCAATTGATTCTGACGTGTAATCCGACGTGGCCAAGCGAAATAACTTCTCAGATGCCACATTTACACTTTCGAATGCCACATCAGCAAATTTTGTCTAATTTGTCAATCGACAACGAGTTCAGGTATTTTTTTTGTTTCATTAAAAAAGTTTGGTGTTTATTTGACAAAAAAAAAAGTTCGGTGTTTTTTTTGTCAAAATTGAAAAGTTTAGTGTTTTTTTTGGATTATCCCTAATTATATATATTAGTTGTATATGTATATTTTGTATATATAACTAATATATATACATATAATATATATTAAAAATATATATTATATATATATGTTAGTTATAATTATTTTTATTTTAATATGTATATTATGTATGTATATAAATTTAATTATAATTATTTTTATTTTAATATATATGCATTAGTAATGATATATATATTGTAGTTATGTGTATATCTATTTTATTAATTATAAATAATTTTATTTTTAATATATATTTGTACATATATGTGAATTTATATGTATATATTAATTTAAATATATGTAGATAAAATTTTGGATATTTAATAATATTTTTTTTGCTGAGTCAGCAGTTTTTGGCTGAGTCAACCATATTTTTTTGCTGAGTCAGCAGTTTTTTGCTGAGTCAGTAGTTGCTTTTAACGATGTTAACTGGTGAGTGTTTGATTTGGAAAAAGTTTTAAAAGTTTGGGTATTTACGTGGGAGTTATGAAAAATTCAAGTATTTATATGACAATTTTATAGTTCGGATATTTATTGTGGATTTTTGTAAAAGTTCGGATATTTTTATGCGATTATCCCATTGAAATAATATAAAAATAACTATATATATATTTGGGAATCTATATCAAATATATAGTTGTATACATTGTTGGAATATACATTAGTACGAAAGAGACTGGGCAAGATGATCTACTGGTAGACAGATAAAGAGAAAAGCTTGAAATTACACAACGAGACATATCTTTATTCTTTTTTTTTTTTTGGTGAAAAAAACAGAAAGATCCTCATGCCTTCTTGGAGTGCTTGGAGGCGGCACTGTGGAACCTTCCAAAGCCTTTGAAAGCCTTTGATAGTCTCAGAAGGTTAGGCCTCGCAATTCCCAAATTCATCTTCCCTGTCGAGAACTTCAATGCATGTAAGCAGCAAAGCTGTTCACCACCATCATCACCATCATCACCATCATCATCATGAGCTTTGTGTTGGTAAATTTCTTCAATGTTCTTCTTCGACTTCACCTTCTGCGGCTTCTGCTTCTCGCTCTTCTTTGTTTTCTTCTTCTCTTCCAATCTCGATGGCGTTTTATCTATATGGGTCTCGTAAGCTTCCCACAAAAGATCCATATTTTCTCCGCCGTCGTCTCCTCCTCCGCCGCCTCCGGCGGTGGCACCGGCGCTGGCGACGCTGTGTCGTTCTTCGAAGAGCTTGCAAGCGAGTGTCCTCCTCCATTCTTTTTCCTTCCTCATTGACCCAAAACTGCTAAGAGTGATGATCTCTCTGGTCTTGTGAGAATCTGCATTTTCCTTTTCTACTTCGTCACCGGAGATTTTCCCGAGAAAATGGCTTAGTTTTGGGAGCTCACATTCCTCATCATTACTGTTTTCCTCATCACCGACTTTTTGGGCTTTGGATTCCATTTTTGTCGGCATTTCCCAACTGTCCCCTTCATCTTTATCGGGCACGGTGCCATTTATTGGCTTGACTTCTTCCTCTTCCTTTTCACATTTGACGATTTCTTCTTCCAGATTCATCAGATCCTCAGTCTTCGACCGAGGGATCTCGGCTTCGTCCTCGTTGGTCACTTCCCACAAGGCTTCAGATACGGTGCCCGCTTCTCCGGTGCTCTCATGGCTGCAGAATTTGTCGACGAAAGGGAGCTCGGTAGTGGAACATGTCTCCTCAGTGTCAGTTTCAGTTTCAGTTTCAGTTTCAGACAGGATTTCTGGAAGGCATGCCTCAAACACCATCTGATACGCTTCCAGCTCCTCCAAAGACATGGGAGTTTCATCTTTGACGTCAAAATTGGAACGCAAGACACCGCTGCAAGAGGAAAAAAGAAGACTTGACTGAGATTCAGGGAATTCAGGGTCAGAGCAAGTGTCATGAAGTAAAGTACTGAGAAGGGCAAGAAGTAGGAGTGTTGTGGTCAGGAAGAGAGGTGAGAGGAAAGAGAGGATTTTGATGATGTAAGGCGAGAAGAAGAGAACGTAAGAGAAGTAGAGAGGGTGAGAGAGGACGAGAGAGCAGAAGAGGTGAAAGTCAGAGAGGATAAGAGAACAAAAGGTGGTTTTCTTTCTCTTAGGACACTCTTCTGTAGATGACAAGGGAAATTCAGACATGTTGGCCTGAAAAAATGGGGTGAGATTAGATTGCAATGGTGATGGAGAAGAAGAAGAAGAAGAAGGAAATAAATTCGGCAAGCTTCTCCTTTGTTCTGTCACAAGCAAGAAACAGAGAAGATAAAAGTGTGAATTTGGAAGGCAAGGGTGCCGTGAATAAAGGAAGGAAACAAGAGAGAGAGAGAGAGAGAGAGAGAGAGAGAGAGAGAGAGAGATGAACTAACATAGACAACATAAAAGCACCTTTTGAACGCTTTCATCATCTTTTACCTTTGGCCATTTCAATAACCACCACCAAATGCCTTTTCCTTTTGCCCTTCTCCTGTAACCTTGTTTTTTGGTCTTCTCAGAGAAATGCCAAAACAAATTCTTCCGAATAAAGAACAAGCTGCCATGTACACTTCGTCTCACCAATCATGCAAGTAAATCACATTTCGTCGTTCATATGGCTGTTGTGATCGCAAGAACAGAGAACATCAGAAAAGTATATGATCACTAAAAACAGTCAATGGGAATGATAAGAAAATTGCAAACATGATTCGATGAAGAACAGGGCAAAAGCAACATCATTTATGGAAGTTCATTAATCATATGATCGGAATAAGCACAAAACCATGAAGGGGAACCTTGGTGCACCGGTTAAGGTGTTGCCGTTGTGACTTAGAGGTCACGGGTTCGAGTCCTGTAAGCATCCTCTTGCAGAATATTCTGCAAGGTAAGGTTTGCCTACAATACACCTTTGTGGTGGAACCCTTCCCCGGACCCCCGATCAACGGGATACTTTGTGCACCGGGCTGCCCTTTATTAAGCACAGAACCATGGCTAGGAATCTAAATTTTGACCCCAACCAATGATATTATATGTTCAGACTTGATCTAGATCTTGGTTCCCTCCAACGATATTCAGATTCCCACTAGCAAAGAGTCCATACTCATCTCACACAATGTCCTAGAACTTGTTATGGGTACATGACATTATATGTACCCTTCAATCACGGAATGATGGTTGTCGACACTACTATAAGCGAGGCAACGATGGAATATTGAGAGAGGTTTGAAGGAGGTAGAAATTGGTGGTTGCATATGGGAAACAAATCATGGGTACTCAAGTGCAGGTCATGATGCATCCTTTTGTCTCTTGACCCTTTTTCTTTTTCCTCCTTCTAAATGGACCCATATGTCTGATGTTACATACCTTTGTCTGAAAACTTGCTTTTTACTAGCATGGGCATCTTAAGAGGACGTGACTCCGGTTTTCTCTTTCTCTGTTCAACCAGCAGAACGAGGCCCCCCTCCCACTCTCTCTCCAATTATTCACTGGAATCACAATTTGATAAAGCACATTAGTTAAAGAAAGTGAGTGAAAATGAAGCAATCTTGGATTCACCTGTTTGGGGAATCTCATAAAATCAAACAATAGACATAGAAGCCAAAAAAATCTTTGCTTCGATCTTCAGTTTCTAACAACATATCTACGCAAATAGGCGAATGAATCCATGGCCCACGCTCATTCATGTAAATTTAGCTATTGAACGGGATTCTAAAAGCAGAAATTATTGATAACAATCACTAGCAACCATAAGATAATCAACATGACTACAGAAACCATGTATCTCGCAAACTGCACCAGAGGTCGCACTGTGCGCCATAATTTAAGGAATCCCATTGATTCCATACGTAAAAGAGACCACTACCCAAGTGTCCAAACTCCAAATCAAAAGCTTTAGACTGCTTAGGTTCTTAATCGCGGAGAATAAGCCTAAAGCCTATCCTTATTTAGAACACAGCAAAGTCAAAGATGATATCCAATCATTTCAGGCAACATTCAATACCTAAAGACACGCTGCTGCGGGAGGAAGATCAAAGTTCTCAAAACCGAAAGGAATGCATGCATGAGAGGCAAAAGACAAATCATGACGATAGTAATGAATAATAAAGAATCAACTACTCGGTCATAGCAGGTTATTTATTGTTCAGTGTCGTATTTTATTCATTTGGCTTCCGTTCTTGCAGTTTCCTGAAATAGAAGGCACGTTGTGTTCAACAAATCATATGTCTCGATAGCTTTTGTAAGCTCTCATAGCTAGATGCATGTAAAACTCAAACTCCAAATTGACAGTTGCAAGAAACATAGATAAAGATAGGAGATCATTACATAAATTATCATACATACGAAACCCATAGTTCACTTCATTTAGCATTCCTTATGCATGTAAACTTTCAGAACCTATGATCAAGATATATAATACTCCGAAATAAAAAATGTTATATTGCATTCTCCGCTTCAGCTAACATACAGGATCGAAAAACAACGAATTCTGACTGTGATCCAAAGAATCCTCAACCCAACAATATTTACTTCGTGTACCATTCCAAGAATATGTATTCAGGGTCCTCTCTGATTATAAACAGAACTTCAATTCGATTAACTTTCGTGATCATTATCTAATAATGTACTTAACAGCGTAATATCCATATAATCTTACAGAAAAATACACTCCTGATCCATGGAACTCATGTATTCACTATAGACACATTCCAAAGCGACATTACCAAAACACTTGAGGATTAGGCGGACCAGCGACCAACTAAAGAAATCAAAAGACACAGCAATTCGAGTACCAAATCTCCCAAATTAGAACAAAATCTTCATTCTGCTGAGGGTAAAATAAAATCGATAGTATTGATGATTCTACGGGCCACAGGACCAAAGAGAGATAAAGAGTACCTCTTGTCGGAAGAACCGCTCTTACAGCCAATGAATGAGCCCTCTTGTCGGAAGACCCGCTCTTACAGCCAATGAATGAGCGGAAGGGTGAACGTTAACGTCGTAAGCCATGTCTCGATCGCCGGCCACGGTGAACGGCGAAAACCCGATTCGCTCGGCGCCACAGACGACGAACTCAGAATTCGAAAAGAAATTGACGGATGAGAAATGGCTATACGGGTCGGGTTATCGGGTTTTTGCCTTTCGAAGCCCATGATTAAGAAACTGCGTGCCGTCCGTTTCGTGAGGCCCACACTTGTTTGCCGTTTTTAATGCAGCGTTCAGTAAATTAAATTCAAAGGATAAAATTGAAATGCTACTCGCAGATTTTGCTCATTATGGAATTCCTTGGATCGGTCACTTAATTAAAGTAAAAATGCATTTTGACTTTTTTAATCTTATGGTAAATGATTAATCTCGTTATAAAGAGACATGCATATAATCCAATCCTGCCTTAACCTTATCTTATTTTTGGAATGTATCATAAAACGCATGCAAGCCTTCGTTATATCCATATGATATGAATGGTCCAACCAATTATTGAAATTATTTATTTAACATATCTTCGGACCCAGAAGTCTGGTTTCTTATCTTATTCTATTTACTACATATATAAAAAAAGGTAATTCGTTTGAGGTTTTATATTAATATAATTTTAAAAAATATGTTTACAATTTTTAATATAAAAAAGTTTATTTTTTAAAACATCCATTTAAAACTTAACTAATACAAATAAAATATATGACTTTATAATAACATCCAAAAAAATATATATTTTCTTAATTTATTTTTGTTTCAATTTTAAATAAATTTATAATACCATTGTGTTATTATAAATATATAATTTGTATTAAGTTTGAAACTTATGAATTAGTTTTTATGTTTTTATAAATTTTGAAATTATTTGGATATAGTTTTAGTCTTAAGTGTACTTTTTGTTAAAATTCCTAAGTTGTTTTTATTGTGTTTCCCTATTAATATATGCACTTTTACTTTATTTACAAACAAAATGTTTTTATTTTATTTTTTATTTTTTGGTAAAGGATGTTAAAAACAATATATAATTATATCAGACTGACTAATGATTCTTCCACTGTAGTAAACACATGTAATAACATGTATACTTGGACCAATATAATATGTATTATCGTTTTTAATATACCTTTTTTAGCAAATCGAGTTTCAAATGTCAAACAACCCATTGTAATCATGCTATTCAAATATAACGATGTTAGGAATCCAACTCGAATAATGTTTGACTCAATATAATTTCTAATATAATTAAAATTCCTTAATTCAATTAGATGTCTTTAAAAACATCGGAGGAAAAATGTATGCATTAATAATTACATGAAAAATTGAAGCCGAGACAATTATGCGTGCATATTTTTTTAGTTTAATTACTTTTTGTTTAAAATTTTAATTTTAAAATAAATTATACTATTTTAATTTTATATGATTTTCGTTCATTTCAAGTTTTCAAAATTTTATTTAGATTTGATTTTTTTTTAATTTTAAAAGAATTACCCCTATCTAGTTTTAAAATGTTTTTATATTCACAGTTAAATCCTATTAATTTATTTAAAAAAACACCTTCAAATTTTGTAATCTTAACAATTTCATATATCTGAATCCAAATATCCTGTAACAATAGATAAACAATATATTAACTTTGAAATGTGAAACGATTTATTTCTCACTAATTCAAATGGGAAATAAAAATAAACTGAAACGATACAAAATGTAATCAGGAAAATATCACACTATCAGTATTTCCTTATTTAAGTGAAAATAAAATTAGAAAAGTTTCTTAATTGGCAATAACAAATAACAATTTTTTTTTCATGAGAGAGAGAGAGAGAGAGAGAGAGAGAGAGAGAGAGAGAGAGAGAGAGAGGAAGAAAGAGTCTATCCAATCAAAACATCGTCGGTGGCCTCTGCTCTCCAACTATCTTATTTAATTCCGCTGCTTCCTTTGTCTACATCTGTTTTTACATTTTTGCCCCCCTTTTTTTGTTTTTACACTTTTGCCCTTTTCTGTTTTTCCAAAAATTCTAAAATTAAGTTGAATATACTATTCAGCACGACGAACACATGCCCTAGCAATGCACCCTAACTCGTCTTCTCAAATAATAATACTAATAAAAATATATTCTAATATTCACTGTGTTCTAGATGATGACAGATAAAATAAATGGCATATGATATGAAAACATTGAAGAAAAGTATATGAAACACGATCAAATGGAAAATTTAATATTGTTTGATGTTTATTGTTAAAATTAAAGTTGATTCGAATCTTTTTTCTTGAGTTTATTTGAAATTATCGTTTTTGTGTTTTTTTTTGTTATTAGTTGTTTTTCGGTGTACTTTTTTTTCACAAAAAGTAATAGATTAAATTAATAATTTGAAGGACAATCTTTCGCTACAATCCGAGAAATCCACCCAGGACAGGATTTTGAACAAAATATAAAAAGATATTTACGATTCAATCCAATCAGCTGGAGAATTACTATTCCTTTGTATATGAACCAAATTGATATTTGGGAACCTCTCCCAAAGCACTTCAATTTCTTGAGTATATCTCTGTCAACTTGACATTTTCTGTATACTTTTAAATAATTTTATATAATTATAACATTTTCAAAATAAATAATATATGTCTTTTATAGCATTTATCAGAATACTGTGAAATACAAATTCTATACTTGGACCACAAAATATATAAAGAGATACATATAAATAAAAAAAACATACATTGCTGAGACCTGCACAAAAAATCAAACACAGCTTTCTGAAATTCTAAACTAATCAACCAATTACTTTAAAATACAAAATAAATATTTTAAATAAATTAGGTATATATATCAGATTATGGTTATGCTATGTACAATTATTTTTGAAGTCATTTTTTTCGTTAAACTTATATCGTTTTATATAGATTTTAATCTAAAATTCAAAATTTTTAAATAATCATTTTCTAACAAATGTCCCTTATTTTTTTAATATGTTTTAAGTTCCATCCTTTTTATTTAATTTAATTTTCAATAACTATAAATAATCTATTTCTGAACAAAATTAATTTAAATATAGTTGTATATTATTTCAGTTAGTTTTATTTAAATGTAAACCAAATCCTTGAACCCTCTATAAAACCTTAAAAAAACAACTAATAGATTGATGAGAGTGCACAAAAAACAAAAACAAAAAGCAAAAAAAAAAAGGAAGGTTTTTATAATCCCACCACTTATGGAACTCCGAGACAACGGTAAGGGTAAAACAGGAAACAGATAAAATAGAAGAAGAATCACACGTTCCCTTTCTCGATTCAACCCTTTTCATACCCTATGGTTCTTTTATTTTATGATATATAAATATATACACATATGTGTATAAAATAATATATCCGAAAATTTCACCTCTTTTATTTTATTTTTAATTCTTCCTTTTCTTCCTTCTTCTTCTCAGCGTTTACCAACCAAAATAAGAAGGGGGCCAAAGGTGGTAGATGCATGAGCCGCAAACACCACAACCCAAAACAATAACTTCTATTTTTTTTTTTTTGGCAATACCGAAGAGGGGAAAAAAAACCCTCCAGAACTATATAAGACTGACGACACTCGTCACCTTCTTCCGGCTCAGACCTCAATTATTCCTTTCTCGCTCAGATTCTCTCTCCTGGGAGAATCTCTCTCTGGGTTTTCTTCGAACCAGTCCGCTGTTTCTTTCCCTCTTTCGAGGTATAAAGGTCGGATTTTGATGCAATGGGTTGATGTTTCTTGGGTTTCTGTGTAATGGGTCGTGTTCCGTTGCGTTTGACGGTGATTTTTTTCACCGGAGTTAGAAAAAAAATCTGATATTTGATCCTGTTTGTTGTGTGGGTTTTTGTTTCGAGTTTGTCTTTTTTATTTGTTGGTTTGTAGGTGTAGCTAGGTTTTCGTGATCTTCGGGTTTTTATTTCCTTTTTCTTCTTCTCCTTTGCCGCGTGGTCACTGGTTGTTGAATCCATGAAAGGTGGTAGGTTGGTTCCCATGGGGGTTGACTTGATTTTGATCAAGTCTTCAGCCATTATGTTGCTTGCTCGTGATTGTTACGGTGGTTTTAGTGTATGTTTTCATATGATCCAAGTGCCCTTTTCCCTCTGCAATTCTGTCAGGATTCCAATTCGCATCCAATAGCTAATTAATTTGGTGGATTTGTACATTCTCGTATGAATCCTAGATGGTGAAGTCGATCAGTTCTTAATGAGTCATTGATTGGCTGTAATTCTTTTACCGACCAGCTGAAGAGGAATTGAAGAGTTTTCGGCTGTTTTGTTTTGGGGATTGAATTGTCTTAGATGTCCTGTTACGAGGCTTAGAGTTGCAAAGTCAGTTCATTCTTATGCAGAGAGCACAATTCCTTGTGATCATGATTGAAAAGAATTCCTTGTGAATCATAACTACCAATGATCAGCTTCTGTGATCTGTCATATATCGTATACCTTTTCGGTAAATGAGTCATTTCTTTGAGGGATATTTGTATATACTTGTGTTCATAACCGAATCAGTATCTTGTCTCGGTGCTTAGGATCGAAGCAACGAGAGTGAAAGCCGTAATGGTGAGCCTCCGAAGGCGTCGGCTATTGGGCCTCTGCTGTGGTAAAAACATTCATAGGCAGTGTGCATTTTTGTTTCTGTTCTGATCCAACATTACCATAATGCAACTGCAGTGAAAGTTGGTGGAGTTTTATTCACTAGTTTTGTTTGTCCCCTTTGTTAGGACCAAATGGCTATGTGACCCCACTTCCGTTTTTAACCGCGGAGGAGTATATCACCGGAGTTCGAAATCCCGATGCAGAAGTTTATAAAAATCGTGGGCCAATAGAAGGAACTATACAGCCAAGAGAGGAGCCTGAGGAGGTAGGTTGACTTAAGAATGTTACTTTCTAATTGTGTCTTGTCTGAATGTACAAGTCTTTTGGTTTCACTACTTGGCTTGTCTAAATTACCGCATAGAGATAAACATTTTGAGCTGGTTCATCGGGTTTGGCAGAAATCCACTGTCGAAGAAGTGTTATACCTTCCCAGCCAGATAACTCCTGCCAAAGTAAAGCCCGTCTCACCGGGTGATTCTGGCTCCTTATCCATGTTTGCAGGTTTGACTCTCTCACCTAATAGAATATATATGAGTGTTCAATGTTTTGAGAACAGTGGGATTGCTTCTGAATGGTGATTTCGCATCTTTCTTCCCAGTTGCTGACCCACCGATCAAGCGTAGAAAGCGTCACAGAAGAAAGCAGGTGCAAAACCAGGAACCGTGTTTGATGAGAGGGGTCTACTACAAGAACATGAAATGGCAAGCTGCCATAAAAGTCGACAAGAAACAGATCCACTTGGGCACATTTTCTTCCCAAGAAGAGGCTGCTCGTTTATATGACAGGTGCTTTACGAGATTCTTGAATGCTTGGTGACCATTTCGGCATTATCTTATTAGAAGCAATTGTCAGACTGACAACATAAAGTCTCACTTCTGTCGAAATTAGCACAAAAAGACAGTTGCCTGTTTTGTCTGTTTGAGCTCGATAAATTTTTGCATGCACATTATATTACGGTTGCTAGCTTTTCTTCATAGATTCAACTGATCAAAGGATTGGCATATGATCTCTTAGGGCTGCTTTCATGTGCGGAAGGGAGCCGAACTTTGAGCTCTCAGAGGAAGAGAAGCGAGAACTTCAAATGCAGAGCTGGGAGGAGTTCTTGGCAAACACTCGGCGAACAATCACTAACAAAAGTAAGGTTTTTTGCTCCGAGAATCTCATCAAACCGCTTCTTGAAGTATCGCATTCTGTATTTCTCTTATATCACCATGGATCCGATCATCTTAGAACGTACTTTTGCAAACATTACAGAACCCAAGAGAAGGGTCGAACCGAGTCCCGTGAAAACCTCAAGGCCCGCAACTGCGTTGGGCGAGTTGGCGGTGGACGAGAAGAGCAATCCTAACGACGTTTCTTGTTCAGACGGCATTGAGAATGGCTCGTTCTCGTCGTGAAGAACAGAGTTTTTAACCATTCCTAAGACATTCCGTGACTATCATCAAGCAAAGCATATCTTGAGATAAACTTGCAGAGGATCATCATCATCATCATCATCATCATCAGCCTAGTATAGAGGTAAAGCAATTATACTCATACGGTGAGGAATAAAGAAAGATGGGTAACTGAAAAGCTACCATTTTTCAAAATGTATGATTGAAGCTCCTATTTTGGGCAAAGAGATTTTAGACTTTGCCTACCTTTTGGTAGTTATATCCTTATTCAGACACTGACCCTATATATAGGGGAAAACCTCAACTACATTGATTCAGACATTGACCTATATATATATATATACACATACATGTACTCATTAAGGACAATCTCAAATATATTTTTCTTGGACCCATCTTGACATTTTATGTTTTTTCCATTCTTCTTTCATTCTCTTATGATTTGGAAAGTATGCATGTGCATTCCAAGTTTCCGGAGTTTTTTTTTTTTTTATTTTATAGTTTAAAAAGAAACATAATTCAGATTATATGAGCTTTACGGAATATTATATATTTTCCAAATATGAGATAAGTTCACATGCAACAACCTCAATGTAATGATACTCTACAAACAACAGCGTCAAGGAAAAGAACAAAGAAAAGATCAGTGATAATCCCCACAATGAATGAATAGAATCAATAAGACCTTGTGTCGCCGTTAGATAATATGGGGTCAATTTATCAATTGTTACAAACTATGGGGAGTAAACTGTAATTTACAAAAGTTTATTTCTGGACTCGCAACGAGGGGGGTCGGCTCAAGCCGAATCACGGCGCCGGTGAAATTCGACTCGCGAGATTGGTGAAGAGAAAGAGTGGGTTTCGAGAAGAGGAAACCAAAACAATGGAATCGGGTGATCGGAAAGACGCGGAACGAGCGAACCAGCCACCGTCTCCTTCGACGCCGATCCCGCCGTCTCCATCGTTCTTTGACAATTGGAAGGAGCGCATACTGATCCCTACTCTTCTCGCAGGTTTCACCTCTCTCTCTCTCTCTCTCTCTCTCTCTCTCTCTCTTCTTTTTCTATTTGGAATCGCAGGAATATGATTTTCTACGCTGTGTTCGATTGGTTTGTAGAAGTGTTTGGAGACTTGGGTTGCGTTAATTTGACATGTCGTTTGTAGAATTTTGGACGTGGAGATAGCTGGAGATGAGATTTTCTGGAAAATTTGTTCTGATTTCAATTAATCAAACGGAAGATGAGAATCTTACAGGTGTTGATTAATGGCGTCTTGGATTCAGATACCAGAGGAAATGCAAAAAATTGAAGTAGAAATCTTCTTTAGGGTATCGAAGAAATTAGAACCCTAATGCTGTTTTGTTATATATCTGGTTTCATCAAGGCGTCTGAGAGATTTCCTTCCCTGGGAAAACCGTAGAAAATGGAGAAGACAGGACCTTTATCTGTCTTCTGAAGCTTGGAGACAAAGGAGATGCCTCGGTTTCACTGGAGGGAGCATAGTATTGTTTAGTTGTAAGAAGGATTGTGTCGTAGAAGTAGTGAGTGGCATGAAGTGTAAGACAATTAGCAAGACACTGTTTAAGAAGTTGTCTTTTTTCGTGTACAGGAGCTGCCGGAGGAGGAGTTGGCTTAGTGTCTAAGCATCGGAAAGCACATCCGAATATTCCCGCTACTTTCGCTACTAATTTTGCTATCGTTGCTGGTTGCTATTGCGGTATATCGTTCATTCCTTCTTTCTTTTGATTAAGCTGCGCAACAAGAATTTCAGCTTGCTCTAATTCTGTTTCCCAACAAGTCTTGACATAGTCTAGAACAGATACATCTACTTTCAAGGTCAGATTAAACATGCTAAAGATTTCTTTGTGTTTGTCAGGGGCTCGTGAATTTGTGAGAGTAACTCGAAAATCAGAACATGATGATTTAATGAACTCAGTCATTGGAGGATCGTTTAGCGGGGCTTTACTAGGGCGGCTTCAAGGTTAATTATCATGACTACTTCAGTCATTTCTATATTTATCTGTTCCTTCTCATACACCTCCTGGCTTTTTGGCCTTATTCTTTGTCCAATCTATTTGAGCACATAGGATTCACTTACTGAATGTGTGAGGTGACTGTTAAGTATGATTTTGAGATTTGCTTCTAGATCTCGTCACGATAACTCTCTGTTGTGTTGGTTTCCATCTGAATCAATTTTGAATTAATCTTCCATATGCTCAAAAGGATGGTAAAGATGGCCGTTTTTAAACTTACCCCATATTCTTGTAATTGAAATTGTGATTGATGAAGCCTGTGTTCATTATGTCCACAACGAAAGTTGTAAACTTTTTCTTGTTATCTGACTTGCAGCTAATGAGTCTATTCTTTGGTGTCCTCAGGAGGTCCACGTGGTGCTTTCCGCTACTCGCTAATCTTTGCAGTTGCTGGTACAGCATTTGATTATGCTACAATGAGATCAAAACCTTTATTACAGAGCTTAAGTAACTTTGATTCACTCAAGTTGCCCGAGTGGTCTCCCATACAAATCCTTGATGAAGAAGCCCTAGCAAAGAAGAAAGCTCGAGAACAGAAACTCTTCGGGGAAAGAACAGTCGGGAGATTGAACAAGGAAGAATCTTGACTTCTCGGGTTTGTTCTTTTCTCCGCACACTCGGAGGTTTGGCCTCTTCTTCATCTATCTTCCAAATAAATACCCCGGGTTTTCTTGTTCTTTTTCCCGTCCCATGATCTTATATCATCTGAAAAGCAATCTGTTCGGGGTTTGATCATTTGGTCTGAAATTCTGTTCGGGTTTTGCCCCGTCTTGAAAGGAATTCTGGCTTTAGGTATGAGTTGAGATTTGTGTTGCCCTTTTTCTTGTAATACAAGGCAATCTAAGGAGAAACAGATTGGATGGCGACCTACCAAGAGTATTATTCAAGTTTTCGCAACTTATTCTTTAAAATTTCCTAGTTCTTGTTACTGCCTTGGCTCGTCTACTCTCCCAATTACTTGTCGGACCAAATTGGATTTATCCCTTTGATCCTTGGATTCACTTAACACAGTTTAACCTTTTATTGAATGGATATATAATGAGTGTGGCCTATGAAACAAGCGCTATTCTTCTAAACCCTAAACTTCTAAATCGTGCTAAACCTGTGATTTGATTTCAATTAATACTAATTGTAGGTTTGGTCACGTGTTTAGAGTTAAGCCTAAGCCAAAGCCAAAGGGGTTGTCACGTGCCAGGTGACATGTCCTAACAGAGCTAAAGGGCTTCTTGTCAGTTCGGACAACATGGAGCCATGGACATGGCAATGGCAGTCTCGTAATTTCTACCCGACCTGGTGGTGATTTCAAATCCTCTGCCTTGTTCTTCTCGCCTCGTTCCCATCGGCCACAATCCCTATAATAGACTCTTCCTTATTTCCGTCAGAAAAATGTCCATCTCAAAAAACAAACCGTCCTCTTCGCTTTGTCTCCTTCATTGACAAATCCGGCGATGCTGAAGGTCTCGTATAATGCTTCGGACCAGTTACAGAGCTTCCTCACGAGCTTCAGACCATTGGGTCCTGCCAAATCTCCGGTGAATCTCCTCCGCCGACGATACGGAGACGTTTCGTGTTCTCTGGCGAGACGGGCCCATGCTCCGGTACGTGCTGTGGTGTCGGCAGATCAGGGGAACCCGGTTCGGTCTGAACCGGGTACGGTTGCGAGTACCGGTACCGTTACCGGTACGTTGGCGGACCGGCTCCGGCTCCGTAGCTTGACGGAGGACGGGCTCTCGTACAAGGAGAAGTTCATCGTGAGATGCTACGAGGTTGGGATTAACAAAACAGCGACTGTGGAGACAATTGCCAATCTCTTGCAGGTCTGGTTCTGTTCTGCTGTCTCTCTTGTTCCTGGATTTTGCTTTTGCTGTGAATTTTGTTGAATTTTATCAGGAGGGTACTCGAAATTTAGATTCTTTTTTGGGATTCACAAAAAAAAATCTAAAAGAGTGGAAATCTGTAAATTCTGAGATAATGTCACACTTTTCCCGTGTTCCTGTTTTCTTTCCACTTTTGTGTCGTACCGACAGTGAAGTAATCAAAGTCTCGCACCATGTTCTTCTATCTTCATTGGTCTCAGAATGAGACCCAAATTCAATATCTGGCAATTTGCCACCAATTTCAGATTTATTTTTTTCCCTTTGTTGAATTAAGTTTTGATGCTTTTGGTATTTGCATCAAATGCAGGAGGTGGGATGCAACCACGCGCAAAGTGTTGGATTTTCGACAGATGGGTTCGCCACCACAACCACCATGCGGAAATTGCATCTCATATGGGTGACTGCAAGAATGCACATTGAGATTTACAAATACCCCGCTTGGTATTCCGCTTTCAAATCTTGTTTGACGAATAGCAAATCCAGATTCGGGGACCGGACATGAACTCGGCAGTGTCTGCTTTGGTTGCAGGAGTGATGTGATTGAGATAGAGACATGGTGTCAGAGTGAAGGGAGGATCGGAACAAGGCGTGATTGGATTCTTAAGGACTGTGCCACTGGTGAAGTCATTGGCCGAGCTACAAGGTTTGTCTTCATTATTTCCCCTCTTTACCTTTTTCCTCCATTGATTTAGTGACAATGCCAGAAGAACTCAGCCAGAGCAATCATGGCCAAAAGACTCTATGTATGCATACGTACGTATGTACACTGTCTTTTGGATGTTTGCTATTGTTTCTCCTGATTGTTTTGGAAGGCGTAATCATTGAAACTGACATTATGGGAACTCTTTTAAGTTCCTTGTCTGATGTTAATGAACTGGTTTCTGTTTTTGGAATTGTGGGTTTCCCTCAAGTGTTCTGTAATATTGTATTACATGATCTCAGCAAGTGGGTGATGATGAACCAAGACACAAGACGGCTCCAGAAAGTCACCGATGAGGTTAGGGATGAGTACTTGGTGTTCTGTCCTCGGGAACTGAGGTGAAAAATCCATGTTCTCTCTCTCCCGATATACGTTTTAAGAATTCTTGACGTGAAAACCTCAACTAGTTGTTCAACCGATTATGTAGATTAGCGTTTCCGGAGGATAACAACAGCAGCCTGCAGAAAATCCCGAAACTGGAAGATTCAGCTCAGTACTCCAAGCTCAGACTTAAGGTGACATGTTCTCCACATCTACGTGCTTGTTCTTTGGTTTCATAATAATCATGTTCTGTCTTCTTTCGTGGTTGTGGCAGCCTAGACGAGCTGATCTGGACATGAACCAGCATGTCAATAATGTCACCTACATCGGATGGGTTCTTGAGGTGAGCAATTCAAGAGACGTTATAATGTGACATTATCGTTCTTGGGCATGAATCTCTTCAAGATTATAGGCTATAGAATGTATATTACCGCTGTTATGTTATTACCGATGTGATCACGGGTTTAAGGTTTGCCAATTTACTGTCAAAATCAGAGTAGTTTGAAGAGGGTTTATTACACAAGCTGATGAATTGTACCTTCTTCTTCCATGGTAATGACAGAGCATACCTCAAGAAATCATCGACACGCACGAACTGGAGGTTATAACTCTGGATTACAGAAGGGAATGCCAACAAGATGACGTGGTGGATTCATTGACGGCTCCAGAATTCCCCGAGGAGACGGTTTCAGAGCTCGGTGGAACCAACGGGACACCCCGAGGGCATGAGGGAACACAGTTCCTGCATCTGCTGAGGTTGTCTGGAGATGGCCAGGAGATTAACCGTGGCCGAACCCAGTGGAGGAAAAAGCCTTCAAGATGAGCTACAAAAACCGATTCTGAGGCTTTTACTTCCTGAGTGTTCTGATTAGCTCTTCAGTTAAAGCTGGAGGAAGAAGGATTAGTCTTTTTGTTGTTGTTGAATCTTTGTGTTTTTTTTTGTACGTCTGAATATTTGGCCTTAATTCCAAAACTATTCTTCTAATGAAATTACTTTGAGATTATGGCGATATTCTACTGGAATTTTCGAAAAAGCACGGATCTTGACATGTAAAGTCGTCTCCTTTACTTACCAGTGGCTAAACGCAGATTTGGTTAAAAAAAAGGTCTTCATTTCCATCAAATCTTGATCTTAGTTTAGTTCCAAACATGTTGGAACCAAATGGGTTTTGTGCGGTTTGCTTCATTAACGAGTGTCTCGTCTTTTGCTGATACTTTAAAGCACAAATATCATTACTTTGAAGCACCAGAGAAACAAAAATCTGAGCTTGCTCTGCTTTCATTGTTTCTTCAAGAATCGAACTCTATGACAAGAAATGGTGAAACATGACCAGATTTTTCGGATAAGAATCGGGTTATCTTCTGAATCCAGAGACCGCATCTTCCTCTTTCTTCTTTGCCGATTCTTCTTCTTCTTCTTTCTTCTTCTTATAACGAGCAACATGCTTCTGGTACTCTTCAAGCTCTTTCTCCAGCTTCTCTATGAACTCACTCGTATGCTCAAGCGATTGCTCATACCGATATTTCTCCAAGGCCTGTCGATTTTTTCCCCCATGAAAAGAAAAACCTTAATTGTAACATCCGATAAGTTCAACAGTAGGAATGATGGTTTAATGTTCTACACGGCAATCCTTTTCCTTGAATGCAACAAACGAGGAAAAGGGTTTTGGGATCTTTACCTTATCTTTAGAGAGGGTATCAGGAGGGGACATCACCTCCGGTCTTACATAGTTTTTCCCACGGTAGAAGATTATCATATTGTTAGGCTTTATATCGATCACAATGCCTTTGCTTAGCCGAGCAAGCTCTTCTGCATACACGTGAATCTGCCCGGGTTTACAGGGCTTGCAAATAACTTTCACGGTTTCATGTTTTTTCCAATGCAGATGCATATTCAGAACAACACCTCCAAATACTCCTCGTCTCCCGACAAGGACAAAGTTCTTTCTCTTTTCACCTGTACGTTTTAGGTAATGACTCTCTTCCTCTGTTAAAATTTCTGGATCATAAGGTTCTGCTGAAGCTTTTGGGACCTCGTATTTCCTCAGTTTCTCGATTAACCATTCCTCTTTTCTCTTAGCCTGTGCAGATTTAGGATAAGGAGGGAATCAGTCTTGAGCACAGTCAAAATCATTGGAAATGTTTCCCTACCAAATCGAGAAAAGAAAATTACGAAAGATCATGGTCATATGCCATATTGAAGTTTCCTGGAAAAGTTTCAGAGCTTTTCATTGAAAAGTTTTCAAATATGTAAACAATTCTCTGTCACTGCAGAAGAGAAAGTGCCATAGCCAACAAAGATCAACACCAATGTTGAGCAGAGACCAAGTTTTTTGCAAAAGATCCAGTGTTATCTGAAGCTTAATCGTTACCATAAAATGAAACAGAAAAAAGAGAGAAAAAGATTCTCGAGAAAGGGAAACCGACGGAGTGTTCTCCAAAAGGTCTAACCTATTGAAGCCTGCACGAATTCTTACCGCAAGTAAATGAGTAACTAAAGATCATCGACAAATAGTCATAAGCATAAGTAAGGATTATCCTGAGAAAGAGATGACCTTTTCAAGCTTGTAGCGGATCCTAACTTCCGGGTTTGGAGAATTCATCTTCTTTTTCGCCTTGAGGCGGTAAAACCTAAGCTCGTTCAGTTTAGCCTTTCTTGACATTTTCCTCCGCTTCATTTTCTTCTCTTTCCTTGTAGGAACATTTCTGCCATCCGCCTTGTTGAAAGAAAATCTGACCACATCATCAACATCATCTGCTCGTATCTCTATTGTCGTATTACTCATGTATCGTGCCAAGAAACATCTGCCAAGCATGCCATTGTGCTCAGATAAACCCACTCTCTGTCCTTGTAAGAAGTCCAAGGAGAAGGATACATATGGAATTTTCCAAAGGGAACTCGTGTTTCTGAGGTGTCTCTGCTCTGCATGGATGAAGTGACAAGGCAACTGTCCGAAAGAGCACCGTCCACTAGGTAAGAAACAGATACCAGGTTTGTCTTTTGCTAAGTGAAGCAGACAGCATCCGGAGTCCCTGCAAGCACCAGATATCATCCATCACAAGGAAACCCAGAATATACACTTTGCCTCTGAGCAAGTTGATGAAGAGAACACAGGCAAAGTATATCACTTCGCACACCAAGAAAACGGTAGAAACCACATATGGGAATATATATTATTATAAGGTGATCATGATCTTGGCTAGATAAACCGAAATCTCTCTTGTTGATTGGTTTCATTTCTAACAAATGAAAAATCCCTTCAGGCGGATTCTAGTTCTCAAAACCATGAATTCAATGCGGCACATTCATCTAAAGGGTAAGCCAAAAAGACATTATCAAACAAAACCTGTGCCATTCTTCAGCACAGTAATCCGCAATATCAACATCTTAAAAGGAAGAAAGACCTAATCTTTAGCTTCCCCATCTCGAAACAGAGTATCTTATTACCCTTCAAGTTTCAGCTTCGAGGTGATAAAATTGTTCATCGGAGTTCATAGCTCAATTGAAGATTCAAAGACGAATTAAAAAACAAAATCAAAATCATGGAACCAGGTTAGCTTAAGACAGTGGCTTGGCGAAATCAATATTCAGTTTCAGATAAAACTTCAACAAAAACCCTGTAAACCCAGAAATCAGAACGGTCATTCCCTAGAATATTTATAATAAAAAAAAGATAAGAGGGAAAAAATGGGCTTCACCCTTTGAAGTTCCTGAGAAATCGAAGAGTGATTCCCCTGGAAGAAGATGTAGCCAACATGACACGTTGTGAAACACTCGAGAAAAGAGAGAGAGTAAGTTCGTTGGAGGATGTCGCGATGACCGGAGAACGGCGGTGTCGTGCGGAGGAGCTGTTGATCGGGAATCCCGGAGATGGGTGGCGGCGGAGGCCGGAGAATGGGCATTTTTTCTCAAATACACTACTCCTGTCGCTTCTATTTCATGGGTACACCTTAAAAATATAACCTATTAGTAAAAGTCTTCTGTGCCCTTAAAATAAATGGAAAAGACTATGTAGCCCTTAATAAAGAAAACGTATGAGAACTACATGTCCGTGTACCGATTTAATTGAGAGAGAGAAAAAAAAACGCGAGAAAAAAATGTGTACAGATTTATTTTAATTTTTTTTAACAGTTTTTACATATTTTAAAAAAAATGGAGAAAATGCGAAATCAGACAAAACGAATGGCGATTTTGAAACAAGTCAACGAAGGAAAATGGAAATCGATGAAAGTCAAAAAAAATTTTTTTTATGAAAGTTAAATTTAAAAAAAATGTTCAAAAGTTTGAATTTAAGTAAAAAAAGAAAAAAAAAAAAGAAAAAAGATAAAGCATCTGACAAAACCAATTTTTTTTTCAAACAAAACCCTAAACTAATCTGTTATATATTTAATGAATCAGTGTGTTATTGCAGGTTTATGATATTCCGAAAGCAGAATTCTATTATGAATTCGATGACATGAACAAGGTTGCGGTGAAACTGTCATCGAAATGTTTTCATATAGACGTAGTGGAATATTTGGAGAAGCATTTGACAGGGGGAAATAAAGTATTTCACAGAAGTGTCACAATTTAGGCACATATTCCACATGAAGAAGAAGCAAACGCTGAAGATGAGCTTAATGGTTGCACTCATTAATCGAGTAGTGAAGACGAAGAAAGATGATGAGTTATGGTCGAGGATGACGTAGAAGAGGTAGAGGTCGTGGGCAAAAATCCTGAACCTGGTTTGAGAAAACATGACTTGAACTTGTTTTTATGTTATGTTGTTTTGTAGGACATGATGTTATTTTGGTATTTTGTATTAGGTTTGATAGACTTGAACTTTGATTTTATCACGTTATGATATTTTGTGTTATTTGAAAACAGGTTGATTTTGTAAACTCTAAAGTCATAGTTAATGAAAAAAATATGTTGCGATTTATAAAAAAGTAAGTCGTAATAGAGTAGTTATTATTTTTCAAAAAATGAAAAAATAAGTCGTAATATTTAAAAGTAAGTCGTAATATTAAAAAGTAAGTTGTAAGATTAAAAAGTAAGTCGTAATGTTTAAAAGTAAGTCGTAATATTAAAAAGTAAGTCGCAATATTTAAAAATAAGTCGTAACATTAAAAAAATAAGTCGCAATATTAAAAAGTAAGTCGCATATAAAAAATGTAAGTCGCAATATTAAAAAGTAAGTCGCAATCGATGAAAGAAAAGTTAAAGTAATCATCTGACAGGTGGACCCATGATAAAAAAAATATATTGCGAAAACATTGTAAATTATAACTTAAATACGACTTACATTAGTCGTATTTATATAAATACTAGTAATTTTTGATAATTTTTTGGTCGATTAATGACGAAAACATACCAAATAAGTGTTATAAAATGATTTAAAGATACAAATTAAGAAAACAAAGATTTTGAAAAAAAATTTAATGTAAATTAGAAAACACTCCTATATGTGTAAGAAAGATTATGGAGTGATTTGGTCCAAAGTTGATGATTTTATATAAAAGTTCTATAATTTGATTTTAAACTCAAATTTTCCGCTTAATTTTGCTTAATTAGACAATATTAAGTTCATATATATGAATTCTTAATAAAAATTCGTTTTATTTAACGATTTTTAGGACATTATCACTAATTTTCGAAAATCGTAAAGCATCCGTTTTTAAGTTACAAAATATTAGTTTTGGTTTATAATAAGACAAAATCTTACTTTTTTTACATGTGTCAGATTTTGGTTTTTTAGAATTATTTTTTTTACTTATTCTTCTCTTTTTATGTCTAGGGACAAAACGCATGTGTCAGACTTTTTTCACACGTTGCTTTTTTATAAATAAACTAATCAAAATATTTTTTTATAAATAAACTTCACTTGCTTTCGTTCTTCAAAATAAAGTTCAAAAGGTCGCAACGCAGTCATGTGTCAGACTTTTTTCACACGTTGCTTTTTTATAAATAAACTAATCAAAATATTTTTTTATAAATAAACTTCACTTGCTTTCGTTCTTCAAAATAAAGTTCAAAAGGTCGCAACGCAGTCACGATTCAGTAGTTCACAAAAAGTCGTTACAGTTATCAGATGAAATATACATACATCAGTTTACATTTCATCTCCTAACTGTATACCTCGATTTCTTTTCTCGTCTTCTTCCTTTTGTTTTACTCTGTCCCATTTTACTCCTCCGAATCACATGGATTCATCCTTGATCTTCTTTTCTTTCACCGTTTTTCTCCGGCACTTTTGATTCGACTCATTATCGGT